AATTCCTTAAGCACCTTTGGATGCAGCTCATCCAGGCCTGCCGCCTTGAACACATCCAGTCCATCCAAGGGACTCTGCACCAAGTCAGCGTCAACAGTTGGTAGGCTGGTGTCCCGCAGATGCCCATCTAAGAACCTGTTGGGAGGTTTATCTTGAGCCCTGTTCTGGAACGTAGAGGCAAAAAAATCATTGAATAGCTCAGCCTTATCCCCCCTGTTTGTCACCAATTGTTCCCCCTTGTTCAGTAGGGGTCCTATGCTGCCCTGTGCCTTCCTTTTACTCCCTATATACCCCCCAAAAAGACCTTTTGTTGTCTTTTGATGGAGTAGTCCTTATGTAGCATAATAGTCTCTGGCTCATTACATCCTGGAGGCTGCCGACACAGCCACGCTGTGAGTGCCACTGAAATGCAGCCGTAGCTGGGTGCTAGACAGGTACCTTAGGAAATTCCAGCCTTATGGTCTTGAAGGGAAGGTGGCTCCCATGGGCTGCTTTCATTTCTATGTGTCTGTATCTCTCATATAGTGCGATTGTGTCCTTTTTGGGCAGGGACCAGTTTTTTGCCCTGTGTTTGTCCAATGCTTGGTCCACGACCAGGGCTCTGTAATGCTCCTGCTGTTGTTTCTGCCATGAATGGTTTTATAAAGGAGTTTCACCTTGAGATTTTGTGGCTGTTAACCCCCAAGCTCTGAGTGAAAGGCAAGGGTCTGTGTGTATCTTCCCCCCGCTTAAACTTGCACCTAATGCAAGCACTTTTTCTCTTTCTCGCTCACTCTGCATTTATGCTGTGTTTGCTGGCACCTGCACGTTGACATAACAGAGCCCTCTGCCTTTCTGCAATAGAGGAGACACTCGGGCTTGAGGCTGGGTGTTTGACATTACATTATGTCAGCTTTCCCCATGTCATTAGCTCCAATTACCACGAGGTGGCACAAACACAGGGCATCATTTTGTGAATGGTGATAGTCTCTTATGTATAAATGGAGAACCCTTTTCATCAGCTACAGGAAAAGGCAGGCTGGGGAGGAAGACATCTTATCACCATGAAATCTCTTGAAGGGGTCACTCAGGGCGCTGGCAAAAAGGGGTTGCTTAAAGGACACGGGGCATGGGTGTGCGTAATAAATGCAATGGTGAGAGACTTGGGCTAGTGTCCAAAGACAGAGTTGGGGGCTCACTTGTAGATGGGACTTTGGATTTCTTTTTGTACATGTAACCACATGAGTGCAGAGTAGCCAGGAGAGAGGAAGCAGCCAAACCTGGGTGAAGGCAGAAGACAGGATGGCTTCATTCCTAAAGCCAACACTAAGGAAGAAAGGTGTGCTTGGACTCTGCATAGTGGCCAGTGGGTGGCAAAGGGTCCTGCTTGCATGTTTGGGTGGCAGAAGGACAACACCACACTGTCAGGGAAGTCCAGGGCAGCAGGAAGCTGCCAGTATTTATCAGGTTTCTTGCACCTTGTGTTTAAGGGAATGGGATGTGGCGCATCCTGTTTTTTAAAACCTGCATCATCCAGGTTATTCGTTTTGCTTTTTTGCAGACATTTTCTGGGAGTTCAGCTGCTTCCTCCCTTTGCATTGTCCCCTCAGAGATCTCTGACAGCCTGGGCTGGTTTTGCTGACTGAGCAGTGGTGGAAGATGCCCCCCCACGTCACACAACGGAGGGGCTGCATGATGAATGGAAGCACTGGGCAGGCAGAAAACACCCTAGCAGTGAGACACCAATGCATTGCAACATCGTGCTCTTGCATTTGGGTTTTATTACCTTGCTTACACATGGAGCCGGAGACCAACAGAAGGGGGGGAGCAAAAGCATCTATTCGGAGTATGGCTCAAAGGACATAAGGAATCAAACTGTACAGAGCAGGACTGCAAGCAAATGGTGAAAGACAAGCGGAGTGCTAGGAAATCTGGACTGGGCAGAGAAGCTGGGTAAATAGACAGTGGCCTTGAGTTAAGCTGGCCTATTTGGGTGCCTATTGCCTTTTTTCTTTTCCTCAGTGTCTGATTTTGGCCCTTACTACTTTGGTAGCCACTGATAGGGAAATGTTGGTGGTTTCTGGCACTGGTAGATGTATGGACGGTAGGCTGTCAGAGCTTCTTCTCTTGGGTCTTGCTGAGCACCACGGTCCTGCTGAAGTGCTGGAGAGAACGGGGTGCCCCCACGGCTCACATCCCCCTCGGGGACCCTGGGTGTCTGGGTCTCCCGGGTCAGGTCTTGCTCTGTTGGCTGGGCTTCCTGGGGCTGGTGGCACAGGGTGTGCTCCGAAGTCTCGGGCTCCTCCGACTGATGGCGGTTCTGGTCTTGCTCAGCTGGCTGGGACTCCTGGGACTCCTGCTCTGGGGCCTGCGGCTCATGGGCTTCATAGTGGGTTGACTCCCTCTCTGCGGTGGGGCTCAGGTCCTGTTCTGGGGCCTCTGACTCCAGGCCCTGATGGCGGTCCAGGTCCGTCTCCGAGGTGCTGGGCTGCAGGGCAGGATGGCGGTCCAGGCCCCTCTCCGAGGCACTTGACTGACAGTGGTCCAGGTCCCTCTCTGAGACGCTGGGCTGCAGGACAGGATGGCGGTTTGGGGCTTGCTCTGGGGCACCAGGCTCCAGGGCCTCATGCTTCACGTCCTGCTGTGGGACTTGGGGGGCCTGGCCCTCACGATTTGGGTCTTGCTTTTGGGTTCGATGGTGGCTCGGGTCCTGCTCTGGTTCTTGGCCCTGGCGGCAAATTGAGTCATGCTCTGGGGTCTCGGTTGCCTGGGCCTCGCGGCTTCCATCTCCCTGAGATACTTCTGGGTCCTGGATGTGACGGTGGCTCAGGTCCCCTTCTGCGGTGGGGGTCTCTGGAGCCTGTGGGCGACTGGGATCCTGCTCTGGTGCCTCTGGTTGTTTTTGGCCCTGCTTCGGAGCCTGAGGCTCCTGGACGTGATGGTGGCCGGGGTCATGCTCTGCTTTCTGTGCCTGGCCCCTACTTGCATCTCCCTGGGATGCTGAGCTTTGACCATCTCCCGATGGCTGGCACGGGTTTAACTCCTTGTGACAAGCCTTGGCCACTTGGAATACCAGGACGAGGAACTCATCGAAGTCAATTCTGTCCTCGCTCTCTGCATCCAGACGCTGCAGCACCTGGTCGATGGTCTGGAGGTCATGGGGTTTCTGCAAGGAAACAAAACCCAGACCCTGGTCCATTAATGCATTAACCCTTCCTGTGCCCTCCTGTTCAAAACAACAAGACCAGCTCTGGAACAGCTGTAGGAAACCCCTGGACCACTAAAATCCCACTTGAATCCTGAGTCTGTTTTGTTCCACGATTGCACCATCCACTATCACGGAGAGAAACCCCCCGTATGGTGTTGCGCCCCAGCCCCGCAGTCAGCATCAGTGGAATATGTCACACATCCTAAGGATGAGAGCCAAGAGGACGAGCCCCTGATGAAGAGGAAGGGTATTAGTCTGGCACATGGAAATCAGGGTTTTTTTGAGCCAGGTAGATATATCTGGTCCCTTGTCTCTGCATTATGTTATGCCTTCAGGCGCTTGAGGAATTCATGTTAGAACAAGGAGGCAATTGTTACTTATTACAGAGCTCCAGAGGCGTACAAGGAAATTAACAATTAATGAGGATCACTGGTGGTGCTCTTGGAGCTACCCTGGGGATTAGAGATGGCGGTTAGGTAATTGCTGGGCTTCAAAAAGACCCTTGCTTGGATGCAGAAGCAAGAGCAATTACTTGGTTAAAGACTTGGCATGCACACAGCACTGAAACATCTTTCTAGAAATCCATCCATGCATATTGCTCTCTCTTTAGGCGGATATAAAGGATGTTCCCTTGATTCTGGTACCTAAGCATCCTGGCATGTCATAGCTTAAGCTTCAGCGTTCGCGATGTCAAACTACAGACACCGGACAGTGATTCAGACTGCTTGAAGAGCCCTGCATGCCTCCCAGCATGTCAGTGGGAATGCCGGGGTTTGTGTTATATGAATGGAAATGCATCCTGTGGCTTTCAGACAAAGGAAGACCCCAGCCGTTTTGCTCTGACTCATAAGGAAAGCAGTTGTAAATAAGGGTTTTAAGCTGCAGCTGACACTTATGAGCCGCTACTCACAGCCTTGTCCTCAGGAGCTAAAATCTTGCCATGACCTGTGATGCAAGCAGAAGGGAGAGAAAACCACATGTCTGTGATCATTTGCCATCCTGCTATGTTTCAGGGATGTATTTGGTAGCCGTGTTGGTCTGAGGCAAGAAGAAATGCAAAAATCTGGAACCCTTGGTTTAGAGATGACACTTTTTATTAGACCAACTGAGAAATTGCCAAAAAAACTCTTTTTCTGCAGAAAAAGATTTTTTTCCCCCCCAATTTCTTAGTTGGTCTAATAAAAGCTATCAACTCTGAACCAACCACCGGTTCTAGATTTTTACATTTCCATCCTGCTATAGCATTAGTCAGGAACAAGTCTTTGAGGCTCTATTCAGACTGGCCCTATTGATTTCAGTAAGACTGGACCGGAGGTGAATTTGGCTGTTGTGCGCGGTCTCTCAAACAATCAAACAAGAATACTCAACAGACTGTCACTGCTAGAGCAGGTGCCTTGGGAGTGCTCACCACTAGCACATCAGCAAACTCCTGCTGGATAAGTTGCCTCAGCTCTCCCTTGCTCAGTGTGATGCAGCCTCCATCCTTCTTTGCATATGCATTGAAAGCACTGATGATGCCTTCAATATTGCCCTGCAGCTGGGTCATCTCCTTGCAAGTGCCAATGAATCTGGAAGAAAAAAAGCAGACACTGCTGGTTGGTTTTGTTTTCACAGGGATGCCATTCTCGCTGTTGCAGTGATATGCAAGGCGGAGCTGTTCCACTGGGGAGACAGATGGACAAATGGACCAAACGGAGTGGGTGGATGAAGAGACGGAGTGGATCCAGAAATGGATGGATTAATAAGACAAAGAAGAAAGAAAGAGGCAGAGAGATAAAGGAATTAGAGAATCTTACATAGAAGATAAATACCTGGATGTTTGTGTGGAGATCTAGTTATCTGGATGGATGCCTATATTAACAGTTGGAGAGATGAACAGCTGAATGGAGAGAGAGGTGGATTAACAGAGGGGCAGATCAATAACACTCATTCCCCTTTTATCGTTTTGCTTGTTGGTTAAATACATGCTGTACAAAGTTCTGCTTTATAAATGTGACTACGCTGGACAGAGGACCATAACCCAGCTTGGAGGAGGCACAGAATCTTATCGTTTTGATCCTTAATATGTAATACGAAAAAAAAAAGGAGAGAACAGTAGAAATTATTTGATAAGAGATCAGCACCAAGAGATCCAGGAGCATATCCCTGACCAGGAGCATTCTGGCCGTTCCACTAGTGAAGAAGTTCAATAGCTGTTAAAATATTTAATAACATTTTATTAAATAGCCTTTTTATCTCCAGGCTTACCTGGTCCAGGTATGGGAAGGAGTGAGGTGCAGTGCAGCTGTTTGGAGTGGGTCAGGAGGCTGAGGGCTTATATAGGGGTGTTAATCATACCTTCCATCTCCCAAAGGAGACACCCTCTCCGCTCAGTGGCCTGATTCATAGGTGGCCAACGCAGCTACACCTTCATCTCCTCCACATCCTTATTTACCCCTTGTGCACTTACTTCTATTGTACTGATTTGCTACAAAAGCTACCACAAGGTATGTCTAAAGCAAGCCCAACCCTGAGGGCATTGCAAAGACATTTTACACTCAAAATAAAAAGAGGCTATTTTTAATTTTAGAATTTTTCTTTTAAGTGCGGCCTACAAATGCTTCTGAAATGTTGTTTAGCAAAACATGTTTTGCAAGGATGAACTTCTGGAAGCGGTCTGCTTCATACTGCTTGGATGCATCGCAGAAGCAGGGGCAGACACGTATGACATAAAGGAATTTTTTTTAAAGGGAAACTGAGATGTTAAAGTGAATGTAATGATTTTTTTTTTATGACAGGGTTTGACATAACCATTTTTTTCCCCCTTGCTGCTATTGTGCCTGCCATCTCCCAGGGCCAAATTTTAAAGCCTTTCTTCTTAGAAACTGTGTGTGTGAGAGAGACCGCATTATGGAGGGCAAGTACTGTTGCTATGATTGCTTCTCTGCATGCGAGTGCAGTGGGAAGTAATACTCTTCTGTGCATGTCTGTGTGTTAGGGGTAGGTACTGTTGGGACTATTTCTCTGAGTGTAGTTGTACGTTGACCATATTTAAATCACAAGTGATCGTAATAACTGATATTGCAGAAGGGAGGGGGAATGTGCAAAGAAACACGTCTATGGGAGAGAGATTTATCATCTAGCCTTTCTCCCCAGGTAGATGGCATTTGCTTAAGGCAATATTTTTAATGTACCATAAAGTAAAACTCACAGGGCCCTGTTACTCTAAGAGGATTTATTGCCTTACATAGCAATAAGTGTGGTCTAGTGGATCACACCCTGGCGTAAGAGCCCTAAAACCTGAGTTCTGTCCCCAGCTCTGCTGTATGATTGTGGATAATTCATTTCTCTTTTCACCCCTTGTCTAGCTTGTCTGCAGTCTCCTGAGAGCATGTTTTGCTCTGTGTTCTTATAGCACCAAGTACAATGGGGTTATGATTGCAGTCAACATTGCTGTAGTATGAATAATAATGATCACATCCATGGAGATACAAAAGAGGGGTCTCTGGGCTGAATTTGGTCAGTAGCACAGAGAAGCACTGCTCTTTGGGGCTCATTCCTGGTGAAAGGGAGGGGTTCGTTTCATTATACTTTAGGGTAGACTATCGAAGAATGCTGCTTTTTTTTTTTCTTATTCAGCCTGTCCTATGTCATCTCCTTGCAAACGTCTTGAGATGGGTCACACAGACTAAAAATACTTCTTCTGTCTGCATACAATTGCTCTCCAGCATAACAGTCTCGAAAAAACCTAATGCTTCCGATGACCATTTACAGAAATATCAGTAATGTCAGGGAAAGGCATAATTAACACCTAGTGGAGAACTGGACTAATTTAGGTGTGCTCAGAAGAATCTCATTTGACCAGATCCTTCCAACTGCACAACAACCCAGTTTGACACCTCCTTCACCTTGGGAATAGGTTGATTTGTCACTGTAATTAATTCTGGTCCCCGAGCACTACAGAGGTGAATGGAAGCACATTTCACCTAGGCAGCAACTCCAGCTGGATTCCCTCGCAAT